TAATTTTTCCTTAGAAGGAGAAAACCTTTCGCTTATCTGCTGAAAAAGGAGGTACCTTTGTATGTATAGAAATTCAGACATTCCCATAAAAGGAGAGAGAGAGAGAGAGAGAGAGCCAGCTTGTCTGTTAAAACAGGAGGTATGGTATCGTATGTCACCGCATTCCTCTACACCTATGGCTTCAATCTCTCTTCCTGTGTTGGTTCCAATTCACAAGCTCTCCTTCCTTTAAATGAAGCTACAACTAAGCATCATCACAAAACTAAAAAATCTCTCATCAACGATAAATCAATAAATACCTCGTTGGCTGCATGCTGCAAAAAGGGAATTAGCTGCCGTTCTTCTGAGGTTTCCTTTAACCGTTTAACTGTGTGGTACCTCACAGGGGTACCACAACAACATCATCCAGGTAGAAAACAGCATATGCAATTTGAGGAAGCAGGTACCGCTCCATGAGGTGCTGAAAAATGGCCGAGGCTTCAAATAAGCCAAACGGAAGTGTGACTAATTGGTACGAACCATACAGAGTGGAGAAGGCCGTTTTTGTCTTTGGACTCCGCAGATAAGGGAATCTGCCAGTAAGCGTTGGTTAAATCCAGCATCATAAAATAAGACAAGCAGTGCTTAACCAGTCCAGGTCAATTCAGGCATTGGACAAGCATCAAACCATGAGACCTTGTTCACTTTCTGATAATCATCACCAATGTTCCCTCTAAACTGCGCGTGTGCTCAATTGCGCACTGCTGGCACGGTCTCTGTGCAGAAAAAATCCGTGTTGCACATAAAATAAAATTCTAACCGGAATTGAAATTAAAGTGAATACGTTAACAATTCTGTTTTGCAGTGTTAGTCAGTAAGTGACTGGCTGCTCCAGTATGGGATTAGAACAATGGCACCTCATCCCATAGTCCAGCCAATCACGTGATTCAAATTCGTATATGCGCAGCTAATCAACGTCGTTGACAGGCTATGACAGCGTCCTTATGTGCCGAAACCCGTGTTTTAGCTAGCAAAGTGGCGTGGCTAATGTGGAGTGAAGCCACGTTAATGATAACGTGTACAACCATTGGAGATGTGAGCAGGACAGATGGAACAAGTGACGTAAAAAGAGTGGACTTTATACCAGGTTTCAAATTGTGTTGATAGGCCACATAAAAAACAGAGTTGTGATTAAAAAAAAATCCAGTGTTTGGTTTTCTTCCAGAATATTGTTGTTTACATTTACTGGGGGAAGAAATGGTAAAAACGTCATTTTATAAGAAAATGTTATAAAGCACTCTCCGCCTGTGAGCAAGACAAAACCAAAACACCCCACCCTTCCCATGGTCAAAAATGTACCATGCTGACCAATCAAAACATGGCATTTGGTGTTAAGAAACGGAAGTTGTTAAGAAGAGGAAAATTTAGGATGACGGCAGTGTTTTGAATGTGAGAGATTGCAACGTTAGCGCAAATCTTGTATAGTTAGTGTGTAGTGTAGTCAATAGTTTTGTTGTGTGTGTCAGAACAATGAGGCGGCTGCTAATGTCAGGAGTGATACATCTCCTGTTGTCAGGCCTGCAGGTATCAGGCTTTTGATGTTCTCCTTTATCTCATAGTGGACAGAATTATTTTGGAGAGCACAAATATTTTGTTGCATCAGATTTGATGCAGAACACCTGATTGTTCTGTAAATAGTTTGAAATGTTTGTTTAAAAAAAATCCCTTAGCAGCATTTTTAGGTAAACAGCTGCAAAAATCTTTGTTGTTTGCAATACTCAGTAACTTTTTTGAAGAAGTAACTATATAATTAATTGCCCAGCATTGGTCTTATATATTGTATTTTGCAGAGAGAGTTACAAGTTTCAAGTGGTGCTCCATGAGAGTCCTGTAGGACGAGCAGCAGCACAATCCTGCATTGCAACTGCAAACCGCTGTTGCAATGCAGGGAACATGCTTTATTGGAATTGTGAGATGTTTAACCACAATGACTCTTAAAAACACTGTCTCAAGCTTCATGCCAACAGCATGTTTTAGAAAAATCAAACATATTTTCTTTCAAGATCATTTTAGAGTTTTTAATGAGCTGCAGGATCCTTCTTCAGTGTGAGTGGAGAACAGTCAAGTCGCCTCCTGTGATAAACCTCCACATGTACCACTGAAAACAGTTAAATTAGTTTGAATCGGAAATAATGGGACAAACTAGTTCTGAGACCATTTCTTTATTTTTCACCACCAAACTGTTTAATAAGATAAACTCTACACAGACTTCATCAAATATAACTAACACTTTAACATTATCAGGATTTCATAATACAAACTTAAAATCAACAAGAAAACAGCTGCAGAACATGTGGAAACCAGTTCAGCTTGAGTTTCAAATATAACTAACACTTTAACTTTCAACATTTCTTTGCTGCCACTGTGAATAAGATTGTGTTCTTTGCCTAATTGAATAAAGGTTACACTGACTCACTGCTCCATCTTCTGGTACAAACAGGCATTACATGGAAGTACAGCCCAAAACCAGTTCAGCTTGAGTTTCTTTTTTCTGGACATAAAGTCACAGCAGGTGTTGTTTCAAAGCTGGTGGACAGATTTAGTTCATTTTGGTTGAGCAACTGCTGTGAAAATATTGTAGTTTTGGAAAAAGGATTTAAGAGAAGATTTACAACAGCAAAAGTTAAATATGAATGAAGGATTGAAATTTAACAGAGGTAACACATTAAATGAATACATTAAAAAAAATTAATTTGGAAACACTAAGAAAGTTCAAATGAAAAGAAATATATATCCATAACATTATTAGTTGGTAAAAAAGACATTCCTATAACTTTAATAATACAGTACATACAATACTAAACACTACTGTGTCCTAAGGGAACAAAGATTAAAATGTAACAGGGATAACATTTTAGAGAATTAAAATCCCTCAAAGGAAAAAAATAAACTTGATATGCATATCTAGACATGCAGCTTCCTAAATGTAACATTCAGGATTATTCACTGCAGGTCCAGAAATCAGAGCTACCTCATCAGATCCAAGTGTGGCATCAGCTGACACTCTTTACAGGAGATTCCATCTGAACTCTGTGGAGCCTGATCTCAAGAATCAGAATCAGAATGGGTTTATTGCCAGATGTTGAGGTTTACAACATTAGGAAATTGCTGCGGTGCTTCAGTGCAGACAATAAGAATTAAAGTGCTATGTAGAAAGAAAGATATGTGCATGAGATATACATGAGATATATACATGAGAATAAGAATTATGAGTGCTACGTAGAAAGATATATACATACATATATACATATATATCTCAAGGTTTTTAAGTCTGACCCTGAAACCAGAAGAGGATCTTTCTCTCTCTTCAGATTCATTGTGATCCAGTGATTTCAGTCCTGCATGATCAGGCTGATGTTTGCACAGAGCAGATAATGAAGTGAAGGTTTTTGCACATTGGTAACAGTGAAACAGTTTATTTACAGCGTGGGATCGTTTGTGTTCGGAGTATGAACTGAGATTCCTGAAGCTCTTGTCACACTGGTCACAGCTGAAGTTCACTTCCATGTGTGTACGTTCATGTTTGTTACGATGACCTGATTGTGAGAAGCTTTTGTCACAGTGTCTACACTTGTATGGTGTCCCTCCTGCAGTGGTGAAGGATGACCCACACTGGTCACAGATGTGCTTTTTGACCACAATGTGGAAGAGTTCATGTTTTTTAATGTACTTGGTGTGTGGAACCCTCTCCCACATTCTTTGCAGTAGTTCATTTTGTCTCCAGTGTGGCTACGTTGATGTGGTTTTAGGTCCCGTTCGTGATTGGAGGTTTTTCCACAAAGGTTAAAGAGAAACGCTTGCCCACCACCACAGTGACGACAGGGTTGAGAAATGGATCAGTGTGCTTTGCTCCACTCCTAAACAAAGACATTGTAAGTCAGGGAATTCCTTCAACGTTTTTATCCTGAACGTCGCCTGAAATAAAAAGCATCTCTGCCAACGTCCAATTACATTTTACTGTTTACACTATAAAACTCAGGTTACTTCTTCATTTTTCCAAACAGTTCATTCAGTATAACTCCATAAGTTTACTGATCAGACTTTTTCCAAACAATCAGGTTAAAATTACAAGATAAAAAATCAATACATCCTCACAGTAACTGCACTTGTAGAGTTACTTTCTGGAGCTGTTGGTGTTTTTTCAGCTGATTTGGAGCTTTAAAAGTCTTCTCACACAGGTCACATTTATAAGGTCTCTCCTCAGTGTGTTGTTGTAACTGTGCATCTGTTGCAAACAGTTTCCCACACTGATCACAGCAGGAAACATCATTTCCAGTCTGAATCCGTAGGTGAATATTTCGGTACCGTTTGTCACTGAAACTTTTTCCACAAAAGTCGCAGCTCTACGCCTTAATTCCAGAGTGGGTAACTACATGCCTGTGTAAGTCGCTATTTAGAGCAAAAGCCTTACCACACAACTCACAGTTGTGTGCTTTAAGTCCACTGTGGATGAGTTGGTGTTTTTTTAAGGTTCCAGCCTGGGTAAAAGACTTTCCACACAAGTCACAGCTGTAAGGTTTAACTCCACTGTGGATGAGTTGGTGTTTTTTCAAGTGTCCAGCCTGGGTAAAAGACTTTCCACACAAGTACGCTGTAAGTTTAAATCCACTGTGGTGAGTTGGTGTTTTTCAAGTGTCAGCCTGGGTAAAGACTTTCCACACAAGTCACAGCTGTAAGGTTTAATCCACTGTGGATGGTTGGTGTTTTTCAAGTCTCCAGCCTGGGGTAAAAGACTTTCCACACAAGTCACAGCTGTAAGGTTGAACTCCACTGTGGATGAGTTGGTGTTTTTTCAAGTGTCCAGCCACGGTAAAAGACTTTCCACACAAGTTACAGCTGTAAGGTTTAACTCCACTGTGGATGAGTTGGTGTTTTTTCAAGTGTACAGCCTGGGTAAAGACTTTCCACACAAGTCACAGCTGTAAGGTTTAACTTCCACTGTGGATGAGTTTGGTGTTTTTTCAAGTCTCCCAGGACTGGGTAAAAGACTTTCCAACAAGTCACAGCTGTAAGGTGTTAAATCCACTGTGGATGAGTTGGGTGTTTTTAAGGTTCCAGCCTGGGTAAAAGACTTTCCACACAAGTTACAGCTGTAAGGTTGAACTCCACTGTGGATGAGTTGGTGTTTTTTCAAGTGTCCAGCCACGGTAAAAGACTTTCCACACAAGTTACAGCTGTAAGGTTTAACTCCACTGTGGATGAGTTGGTGTTTTTTTAAGGTTCCAGACTGGGGTTAAAAGATTTTCACACAAGTCACAGCTGTTAAGGTTTAAATCCACTGTGGATGAGTTGGGTGTTTTTTTAGGTTCCAGCCTGGGGTTAAAAGACTTTCCACACAAGTTACAGCTGTAAGGTTGAACTCCACTGGGATGAGTTGGGTGTTTTTTCAAGTGTCCAGCCACGTAAAAGACTTTCCACACAGTCACAGCCTGTAAGGTTTTAAATCCACTGTGGATGAGATTGGTGGTTTTTTCAAGTCTCCAGCCTGGGTAAAGACTTTCCACACAAGTCACAGCTGTAAGGTTTAATCCACTGTGGATGAGTTGGGTTTTTTTTTTCAAGTCTCCAGCGCTGGGGTATTAAAGATTCTTTCCACACAATGTCACAGCTTTTAAGGTTTAACTCCACTGTGGATGAGTTGGTGTTTTTTCAAGTCTCCAGCCAGGGTAAAAGACTTTCCACACAAGTCACAGCTGTAAGGTTTAACTCCACTGTGGATGAGTTGGTGTGTTTTTAGGCTTCCAGCCACGGTAAAAGACTTTCCACACAAGTCACAGTTGTAAGGTTTAACTCCACTGTGGATGACTTGGTGTGTTTTTAGGTGTCCAGCCTGGGTAAAAGACTTTCCACACAAGTCACAGCTGTAAGGTTTAAATCCACTGTGGATGAGTTGGTGTTTTTTCAAGTCTCCAGCCTGGGTAAAAGACTTTCCACACAAGTCACAGCTGTAAGGTTTAACTCCACTGTGGATGAGTTGGTGTTTTTTCAAGTCTCCAGCCAGGGTAAAAGACTTTCCACACAAGTCACAGCTGTAAGGTTTAACTCCACTGTGGATGAGTTGGTGTGTTTTTAGGCTTCCAGCCACGGTAAAAGACTTTCCACACAAGTCACAGCTGTAAGGTTTAACTCCACTGTGGATGACTTGGTGTGTTTTTAGGTGTCCAGCCTGGGTAAAAGACTTTCCACACAAGTCACAGCTGTAAGGTTTAACTCCACTGTGGATGAGTTGGTGTTTTTTCAAGCGTCCAGCCTGGGTAAAAGACTTTCCACACAAGTCACAGCTGTAAGGTTTAAATCCACTGTGGATGAGTTGGTGTTTTTTCAAGTGTCCAGACTGGGTAAAAGACTTTCCACACAAGTCACAGCTGTAAGGTTTAAATCCACTGTGGATGAGTTGGTGTTTTTTTAAGGTTCCAGCCTGGGTAAAAGACTTTCCACACAAGTCACAGCTGTAAGGTTTAACTCCACTGTGGATGAGTTGGTGTGTTTTTAGGCTTCCAGCCAGGGTAAAAGACTTTCCACACAAGTCACAGCTGTAAGGTTTAATTCCACTGTGGATGACTTGGTCTGTTTTTAGGTGTCCAGCCTGGATAAAAGACTTTCCACACTCATCACAGCTGTAGGTTTTCTTTCCTTTTCTTCTGTGAGGTTTGTCGGCCTCCTGAGAGCGCTGACTTCTCGCTCCATGTTGGTCCTGCAGTGACAGAGATACAAACAGAGGCAGTGAGTGAAATGCAGTCGTGGAACAAACTGAAACTCCCTTCATTGGTTGAATCAAACATGTCAACAAACACATTGTTGGTGTGTTTCCACCACCTTCTGGTGGCAGTATCACATTACAATGATGTGCTACAATGAGAGTTGTAATGAAAATGACATTATTGAAGAAATATTGATCAGCAGAGAAAATCTTTTACGCATAAGAAATTTCAAGTTCAACTGATGATATTGTTGTTTCAATGTGTGCTTATAAAATATGATCTTTGTATTTTCTTGTAACTTCTGTTACAAGAAATTAGAACTCTGAACAATATTTAAACTCCATTCAGAGTTACATACCATAAAATAATACTTTATGATTAAAATAACAGTTTGATTGCTCTAATTACCTGTATTTACCTTGTGACATATTACAGGGCAAATTACATTCTGGGTACAGTTACATCACAAAACATCAACTGTGAACACCTTATGTTACCGTGGCGTTTAAGTCCATGGGAATTATGAGTATCTACTCCCAAATTCCCATCCGGGCTACATTATTATCGGTTCATGGTATCGCTTAACTTTTGCGAGTATGAGTACACACACATTTTACAGTATCGGCCCCGATACCCGATACCAGTATCGGTATCGGTGCATCCCTAATTGTAACTGTGATATTTTTCTCACCTTTTGTGTTGAAGTCATTGATTGTTTCCTCTGTAGTGGCTGAGCTGAGTCCAAATGGATGAAATTGTTCCTCCGTTGCACCACCAGACTCTTCTCCTCCTGTTAATCACCTGGGGGACACACACGCAGCAGGATTTGTAAAAAGAGTTTTGATAAACACAATGCTGGACAGCAATGCTGTCATGTACACAAATACAGTGGGGCAAAAAAGTATTTAGTCTTTCCTTTATCCTGGTGCATGCTTGATACGGCACATGTGCATTCAGTGCTGCCATGTCAATCATGTTATAAAACACGGCAACTGGCCAGCGCCATTCTTTCCCAACCTGGAAGCAACACGAGGCAGCTCGTGTATCGATGTTACCAAACAAAGGCGTCCAGCCTGGAGAGCAGCTGTGAGACGAGCTGACGTGCAGTTCTATTCCATCTCCAAATATCTGTTGGTGCTCCAGACATTTTCATTCCGGTAAGTTCTAAATATGTTCATATCAATCTTTATAGCCTATTAGTTTTATTTTCGATGCGCTCTGAGCTCATAGCAAATTAGAACAAACATCCTACTGAGTGATTTTGCAGAACTACCTTCTATTTATAGAGTTGCTAATTATTTGGCATTATTGCAGCAAACCAGCCTATTAAATGGATGAATCACATCGTGACTGGGTTCCAGTGCTACACAAGGGACCTGCTTCAAACATACCACCATGCCAATCAGATTACTTCTTCCATGTGAGGGTGAAGAGGTGACCCTTCAGGATAAGATGGTGAAGGTTTGCTGCGTTTGGTGAACAGTGTGATAATAAAACCAGGGAAAAATGAAACCTGCTCCTGTTAAATATTCTTAAGTCTTGTGCTGTTAAAATTGCTGTATTTTTTCAAAAGATACAGTAAATAAAGTAATGTTTGTAGTGAATGATATCATGTAAACACTCATGATTTTGTGTAAACATTTTGTCATTTGTAAACTATAAAATCATTTTTCTTCTTTGGCTCTCAGCTAAGGCGGTCGCACTTTTCTCCTCTCCTCCTCACCCTTATCTTCCCTGCTTAGCCTCTATGTCCTTGTCTGTTTCGTGTGCATTACTTTCCCTGGAATAGACTCACACGGTCATTCTCTAAAACCTAAAAGAGAATTATGGATTTGATTAACTGGTCTCTGAATGCTATTGACACCCTTTTCTCAACGAGAAGTCTGGGCTCGGGAGAGCCCGAGTGCCCTGGAGGGACTTTCCCTGCCGATACACGATGGACGGGTGGCAGAACTGGAGAGTCATGTGTCTGGCGGGACTGTCGATCGAGGACGCTGAAGATATCTATCTATTCGGAACCATGATAGCAGGGTTCGTGCTGATCGGAGTTGGCTTGGCCCTGGTTTATCGGAGAAATAAGAGAGCGGAACCGGCTGTTCAACCCCCCCCCCAAGGCTGCCCGCTGGAAATGAAGAGATGAGACGAGGCGCGACCTCTCACAACGAACGTAATATGGTCAACACCTTGGAGATGCTTACAGCTGCTGTGAAGGCTCAAAGCAACAACATTGAGCGTATGGGGGAATACATCAGAGAGAGGCCTGCTCAAAATGAGACCCTTGAGCGACAGCTGGACGACATCACGGAACGGATCGCTGCAGCTTTGAGGTCTCAGAATCAAAAGAATGGCAACACCATGGAACAGAAGTTTGATACCAAAAAAAAAAAAAAGAAGTTTGATACCATCATGGGGAGGATCGTGGCTCTCCAACGGGAGATCGAGAGGCCAGTGTCGGAGTGTTAGGGCAGCCAAAAATTCTCCTGGGCTGCTCGCATGGAAATTTACAAAATCAACATTGAGATTGCGGACCCCCATAACGGCGCCAGCTGCAGGCCCAAGGCTGGAGCCGAACAATCACTCCCTGATAACGACTGTGCTACGGCTATTCTTCCCGTCCCATGCAAGGACACCTGGATTGGCTGGAGGACTGTTTACTTAGCCTGATAGGCCGAAGGACACTGTCTCAGCTAAACTATGGACACGCACACACGCACACTTACACTGATAAGCTGTTCTCAAACTGTTCTCCCACTAGGAGCTCAGTCTGAGTGGAGTTTTTTTTTCTCCTCCTCTTACCTCATATAGTGTATTTTCGTTGTTTTTTCCTATCAGCCTACCTTCTGACATGTCTGCCCAATGTGATGCTTGTGTAAAGTTGGTCAGAAGGTTCCTTTGTGAGTGCGCATGCGCCATTGGCGTGCTGCCTGCTGTAACCCCTAATTTCCCTCAGGATGAATAAAGTATTCTGATTCTGATAAATGCCATGGATTCTACACTGTAACTGATGTGATGTTCTATAAGGTGGTTTCAATAAAATTAAAAAAAGAGGCAAAAATTAGTTTGTTTCTTTATTCAACTTTTGAACAGTGGGACTCAGTCAGTATATATTCAGTAAATGCAAATTATTTACATGGCAGTGCACTACAGGCATAAATCTAGACCCCTAGATAAAACATTATGGGTCATTCCCACAACCCACAGCTTTACTGTGTACCAGCACAGTATCCAATAGCGGTGACAACTCCTCCAAAGTAGCAGGTGGGATTTTTCTTTTTTGAGGACGGCTCCTTTTACCTTTCAATACAGATGTTCTGTTTATGTTTTGAACAAGAGCCTTTTTTTTGTGGCAGCTGAAGATGCAGGTTCATCTGTAACAGTCCTTATGCCACAGATCAACATTGTTGCTTCTACATTAAACAAAAGAGCAGCGACATGGGTGCAGGTCTCTGCGACTCCGGCCATACAGCTGCAGTGGGCAACTTCAACCTTCCCTGTGATGCTCACAGTGACCCATGGCTGCGATGCTGGTTCATTCAGTCTTTGAGAGTGCAGGACCTGAAACACACACAGACAAAGTTCATTTAAAGACAAGAACTATGAGCCAAGGCCGTCACAAATGTGTTTTATCTACTTTATCATAAATGTAACAAAGTGTTTAGAAAGTTAGCACATACATGTAATTTTTCATTTGTTTATGTGTCCATCTATAGAACGCTGCATGTTATAGTGTAAATCTGCCTGTTCTCTGTCAGAAACCTGCCTGCAGAAAATGAACCTAAAGTATGTAATGCAAGGATGTCATCACTTTAGAGATGGAGAAAGCATAAAGTGACAATTATGAATCACTTAATATGATAAGGAGATTCTGCAGGTCATTGATCAATGTATAAAACTAAAATAAAATGTATTTTTAGTGACACAGGATACAAACATGGAAGCAAGATGTATAATTAGGATTATTTATAATAAATATGAATAGTGCAATTTCTTTAACCATAAAGAATAACAATCCTTCAGGACAATGTCACATCAATGCACTGAACTCACTATGTTATCCATCTAACAGCCTCCACATGTTCTCACTGTAATTTCCCCTCATGAATGAATTTATGCTGCACTAATGTGAATGTTTGCAGGGAAATCAAACGCGTTTCACTCGCAGTACTCGAGCTGACTTACCTGTGTTTGAATGACGACTTGTACGCGCTGATTCCACAGACAAGGTCCGAAAATATGTCAGGCTACGTCAGTAGCGGTTGGTCTTCAGGGTTTCTACTCCACGGCCGTATTTCATACGGGTCCACATTTCCAATGCACGCTATTTTCTGCAAGTACCGCTGCTTCGCCTCTGGACGCAATCGGTCTCTATACAGTTCATTCTCTTTTGAGCTGCTTTTAACCATCTTTCTTGTAGTCGTCATTCCAACACAGTGTGTTTGTTTTGATTCGTAGACCCCAAAAACGACGCTGCGCTCCCACAATGCTTTGTGGCGTGACGTCAACTCCAAAGCCCTATGAAGTCCTATTCTACAGGCTGATTGCCCTTGTCACTACCCGATCCGTACCGGAAACCCGATCGGTACCCCGCATGCGCAAATCTTACGTCACTTCCTCTCTTTGCCAACATTGCGACATTCAATATGTTTGAATGATATGGTTAGCGCCCAGTTAGCTCCTAGCATTTCTCAGCAGCTCTGCCTCCTTTTCGACTACCAGGACATTTAAACAATGAATAATCCGTATCCGCAACAAATTTTTGCTTTTCTCCTCAACAGAAAGCGTTCCCCGATTGAACAACAGCGCCGTAAAATAAGAAGAATGGTGCCTAATGACAGAGTTAATAATACAGACTTTATAATATGTCACGTGAAGATTCAGCAGCCAGATGAAGTGTTTACTGGCAATTGACAGTGATAGCGGACATTATCATCACTTTTCCAACAATCCTCTCCACACCGACAAGCATAAACACACTCGATTATCACTAAATCAAATTTAACACACGTTTGTAATGACGCTAATTCAGTTTACAATAGGGTTCATTCGCTCAGTCAGCAGGTGGCGGTGTCCTCGTACACTGGGGAGTACACTGCCATTAAACGAACAGAAGAAGAAGAAAACCCCTGCACATGCGCGGTATGGATCGGGTAGACCCGATTTGTACGGTCTGACTTTGCACATACGCAGTAAGGATCGGGAGTCCCGATCTGTCACTATTTTTAATTTTTTATTTTTGTCTACATATAGAAATGTTTCATTATCGGAAACATGTAAGAGATACTGTTATTTTAACATCTTAACAGATACTCTGACCTGTAACTATCGTAAAATGCTTCGACCGGAAGTAGACACCTTTCGCACATGCGGGGTACCGATCGGGTTTCCGGTACGGATCGGGTAGTGACAAGAGCACCTGGCTGCAGCCACTGTGGAGCTCCACAGTAACGGATACACGTGACCTCCACACTAACCGGAAACACGTGACCTCCACACTAGCCGTAAACACGCATGGATACCGTGGAAGTCATGCAAGTTGATCGCAAAGGTTGGTTAAGTCTTTCTTTTACTTTTTTTGCGTTACAAAAACATTCCTCCTTATTTTAATGTTTTTTCATCGTGCTCCATGGCAGAGAAACACACAGATATCCTTTTTCCTGGGCCTGGTTTAAGTAAGAGAGCTGGGATTAACGGCTTCTGTGGGCGAGAAGAAGCAAAAACACATTTTGCATTAGAGTATGATTTATTGTTGGCGTCAGAGATGCAAAATAACGAATACTTCAATACTGTACTTAAGTAGAATT